TTACAAAATTTGTGTACGTTTTTCTAGCGCTTTCCTTTGAATTCAGCACTATTTTTATTATGAAAGGATAGTTTGATTATTCAACTTAAACCTATGGTAGGCATTTAGCAGTCGACGTGCCGTTTTACTATAGTAATTTGTGTTTTATTTGTCAAAATGTTGAAAATTGAGGCGAGAGTTTCCATCCTTCGCAATAATATAGTAAGTTACGTCGCTAGTTACATAGTCAAATGGCAGCGCCACTAGAGCACGCACATGGTTCTAACAGTAGTTTTGTAGTGAAAATTACATACTTTAATTCATTTTAACACATATCTCAAGTGTTTTACGGATTTTTATTGACTTCAACTCATTTGTCTGGGCTTCCTATGATGAAACTGGCTTAAGAACAGAGCGAACGTAGAAATGTAGAATATTTCAATCAAAGAAAACTGTTACAGATTGGCAAAAGGAACTGGCTGACCGTCGCCAAAAACCGGGGAGTCTGCTGTTGAACTAAAGTATTCAATACTTCAACTGGTTAAGAAAGCTTTTCCAGAGGTTACAGATAAGAACACATACGATTCTATTTCCCTGGCACACTTTAGCAACGCGTTGAAAGGTGATATTGCCACAAATTATCATGGGTTATGGCTGACACTGCGACCCTTGATGAGCTAGTACAGCGTGCAATGAAAATCGAGCAAACCAACGCAACAGTTTCTGCTGTTTCCACGAGCAGAATGGGAAGTCGTCAGTCGGCTGAAAGTCCTGAGGTGGAGATCATGCAAAAGTTGGAAGAACTAACCACTAGTCAGCAAAAGTTCGAAGCATTTGTTGCTGCTATGCAGAGTAAAAACCAGAGCCAGCGATCAACAAGGTCATCAACCAAGTGCTTTAACTGTGGGAAGGTAGGGCATTTTGCTCGTGATTGTCGTTCAAGACCCTGGGTTGCCCGGGATGGCCAGAGAAGTAGCCAACCATTCTCTGGGGTATGCTTTAGGTGTCAAAAGGCTGGACATCGAGCCTCGCAATGCAAATCCCCTAACCCACCGCCATCGGGAAACTAGCAGGGGATGGAGAGTATATCCAGCCCTCTCCAGCCACTTGCAGGACCGGGAAACTATAATCGTTCGGTTTCAGCTACAAACATTGGGGATTCAACTTTTAAAAGCATAGAGATTAAGGGAACAGTTGGGGGTCTACCTTGCACATGGTTGGTGGACACTGGGGCACAAATAAGTGTACTACAAGAGTCTTTAGCATCACAAGCTAGAGGGTACAAATTGAACTGCAAATTTGCCCCCCATACTGTAGATGGTTCTGGGATGGGAACAGTTTATGATTTAGTCACTGATTGTCAAGCGGGTGATCAGCACATACCTCAACACCGGTTCACAGTAGTTAAGAAGTCAACTTACCCAGCAATTATTGGCATGGATTTATTGCCTCATTTAAAAATGCATTTGTCAATCGGCTCACAAGTATTTGTATCAGGCAATGATAAATTATCAAACCAGGACAGTGGTAACACAACCTCGCCTCGAATTTGTCGTATATACGCATCATCAGCAGTGACTGTTCCCTCTAGGTCAATGCAGGTAATTGAGGGCAAACTGGACGATGAGCTATTACCGGGTACTGTGGGTATTATCGAATATGCATGGAGGAGGAGGTCAGAGCGCTTTGGAATAGAATAGCTTTGGAATTTGGTAGAGTCTATGATGCAGTAAGAGAGGGCAATCGTGTTCTGCTGCACGTTACAAACCCTACTAATACTTCCCGGCAGGTAAATGCTGGTACAATTTTCGGACATTTTACAACAAACATTGTGGAACCTGTTGTCATTAGTGAATTGTCCAAACATCCTGGTAAGTCTACTAAAGCAGATAAGGCGGACAGGGCACAAAAGGTTGATAAACTGGCTCGAGCAAAGTCAGATGAGTCACAATTATCAGCCAGCGAGAAACGACGAGTCGACGACTTTACAAAATGATTCAGAAGAATGGGAATGTCCTTTCTATTGACGGTGAGACAGGTTTGAACGATGTTGTTGAACATGAAATACCCACTATATATATTCTCCTGTCACAAAGGTCTATTTGAATTCAACACCATGCCTTTTGGTCTTAAAGGGGCTCCAGCAACGTTCCAAAGGTTGATGACATCCGTATTAGGCGAACTTAATTGGCAAATACTTCTTATATAATTATTTTGATGACGTCATCATTTTTTCTCGCAGTTTCGAAGAGTATTTGGTGCACCTTAAGCTTGTTTTCAACAAGCTGAGAGTGGCTGGTTTGAAATTAAATCCATCGTAATGTGTTTTTGCTCGTGCAGAAGTTCATTATTTGGGGTTTGTGGTCGGTTCAGAGGGAATTAAACCCGACCCAAATAAGACTAAAGCGATCCAGCAATTTCCACGGCCTACCACTGTCCAGGAAGTCGCCGGTTTGTTGGACTTGCCTCATATTACCGACGTTTTATTGATCGTTTTGCAGATATCGCCGCTCCGTTACACGAACTTACCCGAGCAAATGTTAAATTCTTCGGGACGGAAGCATGTGAAATGGCATTTTGCACTCTGAAACGCCGGCTCACATCTCCACCAGTTCTGGTATTGTTGTGTTAAGATTGAAACACTATAGGTATATCCCGATTTTAAGCAAGAATTCACTGTCGAGACAGATGCTAGCGATCTTGGCCTGGGTGCGGTTCTTACACAAGAAAAAAAGTAATCGCTTATGCATCCCGAACACTTACTACCGTCGAAAAGAATTATTCCGCCACAGAAAAGGAATGTTTAGCTGTCGTTTGGAGTTTAGACGTATTGACGATGTATTTGGAAGGGAGACACTTTACAGTCATCACGGATCATAAGCCAGTAACATAATTGCGAAAACTTAAAAAGCCTAGAGGAAAGCTAGCCAGATGGCGCGTCTGCCTTGATATTTACGATTTCACCATTCAACACCGTCCTGGAACGTTAATGACTGTTGCTGATGCGTTAAGTCGTGCACCCATTCAAGCCGGTAAATATTGACGGGTATGGACAGATAGAGAATTGGGCGCGCTTCAGATGGAGGATGCAGATATTGGCGTGATTTATCGCTGGGTTGCTACTCGGGTGAAACCAAAGAATATCAAACGTCATGTTAACAGTTTTATCAAGACACATGGCAAGAACATCAACCTGGTCAACAACGTACTAGTTCTGAAAACAGCACGTCATGGACGGAACATTGTACAAACGATGATCCCGCAATCGGAGGTACCACGTATACTACAACTCCTTCATGACCAAGCAGGACATTTTGGTGTCGCCAAGACCCAACATAATGTTGGAACCCGATTTTTTTGGTTTAATTGGAAACGTGATGTGCAGGATTGCTGCCGTTCCTGTGAAAGTTGTCTTCAAAGAAAAGGGGTGCAGAAAGCAGACGGACCACAGGTGGGAGAGCTGCCATTTCTAAACAACCTTTTCAATGTTGGCATATGGACTTTGTTGGCCCTTTACCCAAGACACCAGGGGGAAATAGGTTCATATTTTCCTTCACCGATCCACTCAGCAAGTGGGTAGAGGCTTTTGCAGTACCAGATCAAACTGCGAAGACCACTGCTGATGTAATTTTGCGAGAATGGTATCCCAGAAGTTCTACATTCCGACCAAGGCAAGAACTTTGAGTCGGAATTACTAAAAGAGCTACACAACCAATAGATATCCGACGAAGTCGCAGCGCACCGTACAATCCCCAGTGCAATAGGCAGGTAGAACGGATGATTCGGAATATTGCAGAGCGTTTAGCAATGGAAATTGAAGCCGAGGACCAAACGGACTGGGACGAAGGACTGCCGATTGCATTGGCCGCAATTAGGACAAAAAGTAGCACAACGACGGGAGAGACGCCATTTTCTGTGATATTTGGTTTCACCTGCAGAAATAAAGCTGATATGATTGGCACTGAGAAACTAAACCAGCTCAAAGGAAAAGAAGCAAAGGACTTCTCAAAAAAACTGTCTTTCCTCGGTCAGTTACATACAAAAGTTCGAAATCGAATTATTAAGAAACGTCAGCATGAGTCACTCCTACGAGCACGAAACGTCCGTTTTAACCGCTTTACCCCTTGGGGAGAGAGTGTGGATTTACCATCCGAAGAAACCAAAGGGCTCAGCCAAGAAATTAGTCGGGGAACGCTTTCAGGGCCCTTATATAGTGGTTAAACACATTGGAGATACCTCCTACGAAGTGGAACTTGTTTCGCGAGGGGGAAGGAAAAAGGTCGTAAATCATCGTCGTTTGAAAAAGGACTACGAGAGGCCACAACGTTTACAGTCAACGGATAGCGAGGTCAGTTCAGATTCCGACGATACGAATGTCAGAGCTTCAGATTTTAACTCAATGGGGTCTCAGGAACTTAGACTCGATATAGATGGTGAAGAGGTCCTTGGACCTCAGCTAGATCCAGAACCTGCTGCAGCCCGACCACACAGAGAGAGACGAGCACCAGATCGGTATGGATTTGCATGCAAAAAATCTCGGTCAGATATTTCACTCTACAGACCGAAAATGGAAGGTCAATAATATTACTGAGAACTGCATGCGTGAGACATTCGGGATACTGGTCCAGATACGGAATATGACCACGGTCCTGACATTGGGTTATACGGAAAAATCGAAACATATGTAGGCCGTTAGAAATATGCTGATTCTGAAGAGATTGCATGATTCACATTCTTAATTATTAATGTCTATGAAAATTAAAACATATTGAAATACATTGCTTAGCAAAAATTTATGCATGCGAAAACATCTGGTGATGCGCTGGCTGGGTAACTTTAATCATTATTTAACTATAACTAAACGTATTCCCATTTAAAATACACCATTTAATACCCACTGAGCATAAGACTGTTATAATAAGACCAGTTGTATACTTGTATTTTCGTAAAAAGAAGAAATTATTTCCACATTTCAAACCCTATCACTGATAATTGTATATTTATTAATTTTTCACTGAAAGGAAGATGCGTAAAGCTTTCATGTCTCCACGGTTACTGTTCTAACACTAACGGCTCTGAAATTTGTCATTGTGATAAGGGTTTCAAATACAACGGATATGCTTGCACAGGTATGTATATAATAAATAATTATCTACTATTTCTCCCAGACAACGTTCCATTATAAGTTCTTTAAAAGTTTGCATTGTGATATAATAGTAAATTTGGACGTTGGTTTGGGGAAACAACACAATTTAGTTGTGCGATTTTAATAATAGGAGCAGCTGATCACAACACTTTTTTCCACTGATGATGGTCCGGGCTAAAGGACCGATTATGAAAGAAAAGCGTGCGTCCTTTCTTTAGATTATTTCTCGTTCTCCCAAACTCTCGTGTTTCTAAAAATGTATGTCGATGCCTCACCATTATTTTACTTTAAAAGACAATAGAATTCTTCTTAAAAAAGGAAATGTCTTTGGCAAACAAAGAGAATAATACCTCTCGGGTAGACCTACTCGCCAGAACTACTGTCTCCCATATTGAATTAAATCATAAAGTCTCAGACAGGAGTATTTAAGCTAGACAGAACAATTAATAATAGTAATTACACTGAGTGGAGTGCAATTTGGTGTGAAATCAAACCCGTGATTAGAAAATTTGTAATCACAAGTTTGATTTCACACCAAAATTGCACGACACGAAATGCAATTTCCACTTTATTATTACTCATTTTGAAATCACACAAAGAATTAAACAAATTCAAAAACGATTTATTGGCTGAAACAACCGTAAACAGTGTAAAATGCGAGTAATGTCAAAAAATTTGCGGGGCATTAAAAACTCACAATAATAGAATTTTGTGAGTTTCCCCCGTAATTCGATTGGACTGAAATACTAAATCTGATTGGTTATTGTGGTGCAGAGCTTCAATCTCATTGGCTTATAAATGATGTGATTAATGCTCAAAAATAGTGCGATTTGGGAATTAATCACACAATTTTTAACCAATCAGATTGCAAGAAACACAATTGATTTCAAAACGAATATAATAATAGAATTCATAGTTACTATATACTTTCAGATATCGTTACTATTCCGTTTAGATATCGATGAATGCATGTCGTCACCATGCAATCAAAAAGGTTTTGAACGCTCGTGCAAAAACACACCAGGTTCTTTCATTTGCACTTGCAAGAGTGGGACTATTTTCGATGGAGTTACATGCTCAGGTATATGCTCGCATTTTAGTTCTTTAATTTCCCTCAAGCCTGTTATACAACCTTCCTGAGGCCTCGTAGCGAATATCTATGGTAATTTTGAAGTAAGAATCTTATCTTTTTCGGCACTTTTGGCATACAAAATTGGAAGACGTTTTTACGGCATCTAGCTCGCATACCCTCTAACAAGATACATAAACTTCTCTAAGTTTTATCATAAAAAATTATCGGGTTTTTAAATATATTTTTGAATTTCAAGGAATGACTAAAATCCTCCACGAAAATTTATATTAAGGATATGGGGGGGGGCAAAGAACGATTTAGGTGTTTATCCTGTAAAATGTTCTTCTTCTTTCTAAGACTTGAATCTTTGTCTGTGTTCATGAAACACCCGACTATATGACTATGCCTATATATGCTCAACTGATTTTGTTGAATCGTGCTATAGGTGCAGGGATTCTTTAAATATTTCTACACCAAGTTCTCTATTACTATAATATTATATGATTTGACTTGAACCCATAAAAAACTTTGCTTAAAGAAGAAAACATTAACACTGAATAACAATTGTGCGGTGCAGGAACAACGGCGAATATATCTTCACATCTGTATAATTGTTTACAAATTCTATATTATAGCCATCTCTGAACTGCAAATTCGATTAAATGATTCAAGTACTAACATGAGCGGAAGAGTGGAAATATATCATCCAACATTTGGCTGGGGCACAATCTGTAATATAGAAAATAGAGAAACGGTATCGTCTGAGGTTGGTGAGGTCATCTGTCGTCAATTGGGTTTCGCTGGAGTAGGAATTATGAGGCACTTTGGTGAAGGAAGTGGTCCTGTATTGCTCTCTGAAGTCAGCTGCATTTATGGTGATAATGAAATATATATCTGGGATTGCTCACATGCTGGATGGAATATGCCTACTTTACCCTGCACACATGATCGTGATGTCGGTGTGGAGTGCTACTGAGATCACAATAATTTACTTGGCTTGGCCAGCGTGGCAAATTAGTCCTTCTGTGATGCTATGGTAAAATTTGGTGTTGAGCAACTGTGAACACAATGGTCTATTAAGTAAATGAATAATGATAATAAATGAAAATTAGGCATCGCGGGACTAAATCGTCAGGCTGGTTACGCCACTGCTCTGGATTGGATTATGAACAGAAGTAATTTTTCTTTTTTCTAATACGCACGTAAAAGTTTAAAATCATTCAAATAATACTTAAGAAAAAAAATCAACGATTCTGTTGATGATTTGGTGTGTTTTTCCTGGTATAAATTTAATTATACAACAACTTAGAAGTTTTTAAGCTTTTACCTGCGTTTACGTACATGCAAAAAACTCGACGGTGGAAAGCCGCCTTATACTTACTTCGTTAATAAACATATTTTCTGTAATTTTCTGAACTATAAACAACTCCCTATTCTTTCTACGACTAAAAGCTATAGTTGAGAACGCGATGACAACCTCTACGATAAAATATACGTACTCGTGTCATATAGGCACATACCAGAGATTACCTGGCACCCCTTTTTTTTATTTTATCCGTAATGATCCCATTTGATCAATATTCCAATAGGTCATGTGATATAACGTGTGATTTAGTCTAGTTTCTGGATATAATTATTATAGCTATATATTTTAACCAACTAGAGACTGTGCATGGAGCCGGGTGTTAGAATAATAGTTGGGTTTCCTGTTTTTATCATTTGTGTTAGAAAAAAATTTCCAGCCTGTAAAAAGGGAAAAAATATTGACTACATATGAGAGATGTATAATCGATGTCGCGTGATCGATTTTTCTGATTGTATTCTTTTGAAATTTCAAGCTCATCCTATGAGATTAGTTCCACTCGACCGTTTTAACTACAAAGCGAGCATAAAAATTCGATCGGGCGACATTTTGCGCTAAATGATGACATCCGCCTTAATGCACTTTGTTGTTCTATAAAAGCAGTCTGGTTATTTCATGGTGTAACTCGTTTTTTCTGTAAATAAGATTTTGTAGGATTTGGGTTAATGTTTACGGGAACTAATTTGTCAACTAATTAACTATGACAGATAAATGTAGTACCTTACATTACACTTGTTATTGAATCATAATTAAGTATTTAATTAGTATTAAATCAGTATTAGTAAGTACTGGCATTTGGTATTGAAATTTTACCTAGTAAAAATTATAAAGTGCAATCCTATTTTATTGTTTTTAATTCTGATGAGCGTTCAAAATCAATTTAAAGGCCGGCGCACAATAGAGCTATGTGTTTAGCAAAAAGTCATTCGTGGCCATTGGCGTAAGCCAGTTGCTCTCGTGTGCGGGCGACTTTTCCAGTGACTTTCGTCATTCGTGCCAAAAGTCGCCGAAAAAGTCGCCCGCACACGAGAGCAACTGGCTTACGCCGATGGCCACGAATGACTTTTTGCTAAGCACATAGCTCTAGTGTGCGCCGGCCTTAAAGGTTTTTGGAAGGAGTAGTGTTTCTAATAATCACTTATTCACTTCCTAGAGAACGTAGAAAGATTGCCAATAGGGGAGCTTTAGCTTTCCCAATTAGTACGACCACGAGATTCGTCATTCTCGCGCGTTGTTTGCTTGCGCCATCAGCCAAAGCTTGTAATCGTAGCCTACAACTTGGTACGGTGCCATTAACACCAGGGGCCGGTTGTATCAAGCCCGTTTAGCTTAAACGGTGGTTAAGTTCTAAATAGAAAGCAAGTCTATCGTATTACTACATATTCAGTGCATAATATTCAAGTTGACTCATTCAAGAGAGATGTAAGAGTGTTATTTAATTTTGACGTATCCACCGTTTAAGCTAAACGGGCTTGATACAACCGGCCCCAGAATTGTATTGGCAGTCATCTTTAAGATTTCAGTGAGCAGCTAGGTTATATATATATATATATATATATTAGATTGAAAATATGAGATTAAGATGAGATTAAAAATAATTAAAAAGCGGTTCCGAACGTTTCCGAAGGCTAAAAATGGCGGTAAAAAGGATGATTTCATTCGTGTCTTCAAATCCATATTTCGAGGGCATAAAAACACTGCATTACAGAAACTAAGAGAAAAACGTCCAGAGAGTCTTAGAAGTGGCATCCTACAAAAACACCTGGTAAAGGGTGACTGTTGACAAATTTTTCGTCTCAAACATTTTGTTTATCAAATAAGCAACGACAGTTTCCGAACTTTTAATTGAGATACGTTTTATTAAAAAAAATATCGCCAGATACGAGACGTTTGCGTGTTCTCAATGATTGAAAATTAAGATGTATTTTACAATTTAAATATATTAGAAAGCTTAACTTTCCGCGGGTTTTCTTAACTTTTAGGTTTAAACTTTTGTTTTCGAAAATATTCTAAAGCCACCCGTAAAAAAAGGAAAATTTACCGTGAATTCCAGTTCGTTCGATACTCTAAATGCTAGAAGGCTTTTAATTTATGTTCTGTCTGGCCGTCTTGTATATTTTTGCCTTTTCTTAACTTATATTTTATCAAATAATGGGCATGTTTTCCAAAAGTTGATATTTAGATTTACCATAAATTTTGATATTTCGGCGCGTGCGCAGACGTTTTTCCGCGGTGTTGTGGTGTACAGCTTTGGCTAATTTTGCGATGCGCGATTCGATTTCGCTCGCATGATACGGCAATTCCTCCAAGAGCAAAAAAAACCGTTGTTTTCATGCTGTTCGATTAAGTTTAGATTCAATTGGGGTAAGAATATATTAATACATGTTGATTCTGGTTATTTTAATAATATCACTGCTATTTCGCCGTTTAACAAGATGATGTGGTCGTGTATGGGCGCTTTGACACTGTAGTATCCGGTAATTAGTATTAGTTAATTAGTATGCATGAATTAGTATTCCACTATCCCAATATGCTATTGTTAGCTGTATATAAAAAGGATCCTATGTTTTGTATTAAACATTCTTATATGTTCGGTGAGTTGAGGTCATTACATTGGCGACGAGGATAAAAAAAAAACTCTTAGAGTAAGTAAAGATCCGCCTTGAGCAGCGAAATATGGAATAGTTTTCGGTTAAGAACGTTAAGAACATTCGAATAAATCAACAAATGATGTCTAATAGCGAACAACAGCAGCAGCAAGTGCCGAAGCATCGACTATTCGTGTTATAACAGAAACAAGGACCTCAAAATACGACCTTTTGCACCAGGAGTGATCAGATTACTACGGGTAAAGCGTGGGACGATTGGTTAGAAGAAATCGAACGAGAGCTTCGTTATTTCAAAATAAGCGACCCGATTGACAAGAAAGACGCCCTAATTATTTATGGCGGTAAAGAAATAGCTAGGCTTGAGAAAAGCTTACCTAATCCGGCAGGGGAACTCGATGAATTCGACAAACTGAGGACAAAACTAAACGACTATTTCACACCCAAGAAAAACAAACATCACGCCAGATATTTATTCCTTAAACTCCGACCAAATCAGGGCGAAACAATAGCGGCATATGCAAGTCGACTGAGAGAGAAGGCTAATGATTGTGAATTCGAAGGGAATTCTGACGAACGAATCTTAGAACACCTCATTCAAACGACTCATAATCGGGTATTGATCCAAAAGGCTATCAACAAGAAGTGGAATTTGTCACAATTTCTCATGGAAGCGGCGCAAATGGAGGATACATCGCTTCAAGTAGGCGATATGAAATTACCCGGACATGAAGAGGTGAAGTTCGTGAACAACGAGAGACGACATAAGAGGAGACGAACACCGTATGTGGGAAAACCGTTGGGACGTCGAACACAGCCATGTAATTACTGTGGACAAACAAGGACTCACATCAGTGGAGAGAATTGTCCGGCGTATGGCAAGAAATGCAAGAAGTGTCAAAAGTACAATCACTTCGCGATAGTTTGCAGATCAAGTAAATCGGATACGCAAAAAGGCGATCGGAGAAAATCGAGTCACGAGCGTGAGATCGACCAACAAGGTTCCCAAAAGCAAAAACGATCAATCAAGAAAATGTCGGAAGACGCAACAGATACTGCAACAAGTTCCGATGACGAATTTTTCGGTCAAGTGGTAAGACATCTCAAGCAAGTTAAGAGAATTCGAGGGAACAATCAAAACAAGACCGTGACTATACATATTAATGATGTTGAAGTCAGAGCCGAACCGGACAGTGGAGCTGAAGTTAATTTGATGGATGAGCACCAATTCAGGGCACTAGTGAACCGGTGTGGTAAAGACCAACCAACGCTACAACCCAGTCAGACAAAACTGAGTACGTTGCAAAGCAAGCTGGTTGTGAAAGGAGAATTCAAGGCGACGGTTAAGAATAGAACATGTGGGACGGTGACAAGATTTGTCGTAGTCAAGGGCAGAATAAATTCACCTCCACTTATCAGCAAGAATACCTTATTCAAACTTGGAATGCTGCAGATCAGGGAGGATGGCTCGTTCGCGGAAAAGAACAACATGAGAATCGCAGATCCAGCACAGGGAATTAAAACAGTCATGATGAGTAAAGACTGCAGTCCACGAATCAAGAAAATCACAGATCGGTATAATCAAGTATTCAAAGGCATTGGGATGATCAGAGACATAAAGAATGATAAGAACTTTTATACCAAATTTAGTATGAAGCCAGAAGCAGTTCCAGTTGCTCAAAAGCCGAGACCAGTTCCTTATTATCAACAGAAACCCTTGAAGAAATGGCTGGAACAATGTATTAAAGAGGATATATTTGAAGAAGTGCCAGATGGTGAACCAGTGACATGGTGTTCGCCACTCGTAGTGCAACCAAAGCCAAGGTTCAGTGGGACAGATAAGGATCAACTGGAGCCACATATGATTCGAGCCAGCGTCGACCTAAGAGTACCCAACCAGTTCATGGAGAGACACGCATAATTCAAGGGCCCACCGTTGAAGATTTCATTACAAGTTCCACGACTGTTCCGTGTTCCCAAACTGGATATGAGACAGGGCTACCACCA